AGAAGCGGTGAATGCTCCAACATTGGAAGTTTTTAAGAAGAGACTGGACAGCCCTTTGTCCGAAATGGTATAGGGCAGTGGTGGCGAACCTATGCCACGGGTGCCAGAGGTGGCACTCGGAGTCCTCTCTGTGGGCACACGTGCCGTTGCCCCAGCCTTGCCTCCCCCCGTGACCCCCACCTCACCAGCAGCCTCCCTGGAGGAGAGTCACCCTCGAGTGTGGCCTTTGTGGAGCAGTGCAGCCAAGGACATGGCAGCCAGGCAGCATAGACAAGAATCTGCCCTCACGCCCCATCGTGCAGAATTGATGCTGCGGGGCATGGGCAGAGAGCATGGCCACCATGGCGCTGCTGGGCAGGCCCTGGAGGCGGTGAGTGGCCCTGCGGGCAGGCAGGGTGGGGGCGGGGCAGGGGGTGGAGCGGGGCCAGGCCCAGTTTTTGGGCACTCGGTGTCTAAAAGGTTCGCCATCACTGGTATAGGGTTTCCTGCCTGAGCAGGGGGTTGGACTAGATGACCTCCAAGGTCCCTTCCAACATTATTATTATTATTATTATTATTATTATTATTATTATTATTATTATTATTATTATTATTATTATTATTATGGATCATCGCACAGTCAGCCAGATGTTCAGACTGGATTTGGCATTTTTGTCTGCCTATCGAGTCCTTCCCAAGGACCTGGGATAGGCAGATGTGGATGTTTGATGTTATTACAGATCTCGTCGCAGGATGGAAGCAGTTTTGCAATCGCCTTTTGCAATTGACTAATGGCGAATTTGTCAATGCCGATGGTATTCAAGTGGTGCTCCAGTTGTTTTGGGATTGCACCCAAGGCGCCTATTACTATTGGTAATAGTAATTGCTTGCTTTTGCCACAGTCTTTCTATTTCTATTTGTAGGTCTTTGTATTTTGTTATCTTCTCCAGTTCTTTCTCGTCTATTCTGCTGTCTGCAGGCACTGCCACGTCCACTATCCAGACTTTTTTGTCTTTCTTATCGACAATTGTTAAGTCCAGGGTGTTATGTTGCAGGTGCTTGTCTATTTATGATGATGATGATGATGATGATGATGATGATGATGATGATGATGATGGATCATCGCACAGTCAGCCAGATGTTCAGACTGGATTTGGCATTTTGTCTACCTATCGAGTCCTTCCCAAGGACCTGGGATAGGCAGATGTGGATGTTTGATGGTATTACAGATCTCGTCGCAGGAGGGAGGCGGTTCCTAGTAAGGCCGCCTTTTGCAATTGACTAATAGCGAATTTGTCAATGCCGATGGTGTTCAAGTGGTGCTTATCATCATCATCATCATCATCATCATCATCATCATCATCATCATCATCACAGAAAGGGCCGCTGGAGTCACTGCCTCCTCTTGAAAAGTTAACTGCCCATGTGAATTCAGCCTCTCCATGGGCCTGTCTTTTCCTGGGCAAGGGAATTTATATTCCTTTTGCGCAGGTCGTCCTCGATTTAACAACAACAGTTCGTTTAGTGGCTGTTCGAAGTTAACGACGGCACTTGAGGAAGGTGACTTATGAACCATTTTTCCACAGGGGCGACCTTTGCAGCACCCCCACGATCACGTGGCCAAAATTCAGACGCTTGGCAAGTGACTCATATTTACGACCGTCACTGTGTCCCAAGATCACCCGATCCCCTTTGCCGAGAAGCCAAGCCAACGGGGAAGATTTACCTCACAGCCGGGTTCCCAACTTATTCAAGGCAGTGATTCACTTAACAACCGTCGTAAAATGGGGCAAAGCTCACTTAACAATTGTCTTACTTAACGACAGAAATTTTGGGCTGGATTGTGGTCGTGAGCCCAGGACTACCTGTATGTAGCATTTCTTAAACCGCCCTCTCCCCCCCAGAGAACGGGCCTTCAAAATGGGCCCTCAGAACGGAGGCCTTTGGACCAGCGTTTCGGCACTTTTCAGATGTGTGGACTTCAACTCCCAGAATTCCCCAGCCAGCGAGGTTGAGAAACTCTGCTTTGGGCTGCACGCAGACAGTCTCGCAGCGGGCAGAGAGGAAGTTCCTAAGCCAGGCTTATTTCTGCAGGATCCCTCTGGGGCGGGGAGCTACGGATTCATTTGTGCGCCGCAGCCCGCGAGGTGGGAAGGTTTAACTACGGTTTTCTGCCGGAGTTAATTAACTGGATCCTGTTTGCACAACACGCTGTAACCTCTGCTGACCCAGTTTAGCATGCCGTGCAAACAAGAGTCCAATCGTACGAGAACAGGCTATTTTTGCCACGACCTTGAGAGAGCAGAAAAAGGCAGACGCTTGGCACCACGCAGGCAAATTGCAGAGCCGCCCTAGCATTTCCTTCGGGGACATTGAGGCTGTTTTTTTTAATGAAAAGAGGGAACAGAAGCCAGCAGGGGGACGCATGTTTAGCCTCACAACAACCTGGACGGGTAGTTAGTCACAAGAGCAAACAGCAGACAGAACCTGGCAATGCTGTAAATCATAGAGCCTAGAATGACAAGAGTTAGAAGGGACCTTATAGGTCATCTAGTCCAACCCCCTGCCCAAGCAGGAGACCCTACAGCCGTGGTGGCGAACCTATGGCACCCGTGCCACAGGTGGCACTCAAAGCCCTCTCTGTGGGCACGCGCGCTGTCGCCCCAGTCCTAGGCCTTCAGCTGGGTTTTATAAAACCTTTTCGCTTTAGGCCTCCGCCGCTGTGTGCAAAAAAAAAAAAAGGTTCAATCAATCAATTTCAACTTCTCATGGGAAAAAAAAAGATCTCGCAAAGTTGGAATTGATTGATTGAACTTTTTAGTCCCACCCAGTCTGCCGTTACCACTGCAGCCACACCCATCCAATGGGCCATGCCCACCCAATGGGCTACACCCACCCAATGGGCCATGCCCACCCGGCACCCAACAATACATAAGTGGGTTTTGGGTTGCAGTTTGGGCACCCGGTCTCTAGAAGGTTCGCCATCACTGCCCTACATCATTTCTGACAGAGGGCTGTCCAGTCTCTTCTTGGAAGCCTCCAATGATGAAGCTCCCACAACTTCTGAAGGCAACTTCTCTTCCATTAGTTGATTCTTCTCACTGTCAGAAAATTTCTCCTTATTTCTAGGCTGAATCTCTCCTTGATCAGTTTCCATCTGTTATTCCTTGTCCGGCCTTCAGGGGCTTTGGAGAATAGGATGACCCCTCCTCTTTGTGACCGCTCCTCAAATATTGGAACGCTGCTATCGTGTCTCTCATGGACCTTCTCTTCACTACAAGCTTCGCCTTTGAGTGTGTGAAGCCCTCCAACCTCTCCACCCCACTGGTAGCTGACCTCTTCAATGCAGATTGGTGAGGTAGGCATACATCTG